ATTCAGGATATAATTCATTGCCTCTGTTTTCGAATTTTTATGCTTTTATATAATGTAGGCATTTTTTAATACAGGAAAGCTATCAATTGCTTCTAATGGGTTTGATGAAGATAAGAGGGTGTTGAAGTCTGATATGATGAAGAATCAAAATGTGGAAGAAACCCTTCCACCACCTCCTCCACCTCCGAAAAGGAATTATCCTGATTCAGAAGTGAAACCTGGACCAACTGCTATAAGGAAAGAAGAGGAAGACATATTTGTGGGGGATGGTATTGACTATTCCATTCCTAGTAAGGATATGAGCCAAAGCCCAATTTCAGAGGATATGGAAGAATCTCCTCGCAATAAAGAGAGGACTTCCTATTATAGTGAACTTGCCTATGGCCCAGTTCCACCCACAGAGCCATCTCATGATTGGCAACAAGTGGTGAGCATTATTTGGGTTTTAGCTTGACGGTAACACTGAATATGAGACTTTGCATGACTTGGAAATTTCTTATACATGAGACATTTTTTTTATCCTCTCCCAGTAGCAACTGACTTTTGACTTTTCATTTCTTTCCCTTTCACGTCATGTTTTCAATTTCTCCTTTTTCAACCGTTTTCACGATGTTTATTTTTTGCCTGTTAAGAGCGGATTTGATGCTATGCAAGCACAAGCACTGGCTGGTGGTTATCAGGGAGAGTGGCAGGACTACCAATATGCTGAGCAACTTTCGTACCCAGAGCAATATCTACAGCAAGACATTCAGGCATATGATATGCAAACTGGTTTAAACGTTCAGCAGGACCCACGCGTCATGACTCAAGAAGAGAAGGACAGGGGCTTAGGGTCAGTGTTCAAGAGGGATGATCACCGGCTTCTGCAATTGAGGGAGAAAGACTCTAGGGAAAAGGATCCCAATTTCATATCTGATAGTTACTCTGAATGCTATCCTGGTTACCAAGAATATAACCGGGAGATTGTTGACAGTGACGATGAAGCTGATTTGACAAAAATGGATATGGGCGGACGAGTAAGTTATTTTCTGGTCTTTCTGAGTGTTATAGTCTCTGCAGGCTAGTCGTCCTTGACGTCTCGTATAAAGATTTATGTTTTATATTAGGGTGATTTATGTCGAATTTTTTTCTTTTTTGAATTTTCTTATAGGCCAAGGGACGCCTCCATCGGTGGGACTTTGAGACAGAAGATGAGTGGGCAAAATACAATGAGCAAAAGGAAGCGATGCCAAAAGCTGCATTCCAGTTTGGCGTAAAGATGCAAGATGGTCGCAAGACTCGAAAACAGAACAGAGAACAGAAACTTTCTAATGATCTTCACAAGATTAACCAAATACTGGCCAAAAAGAAGGAGAAGGGCGACAAATTTGATGATAGCAGAATGTATGATGATGAGTCACATCCTGGAAAGAAACTACGAGTCTGATATTGTTTACTGTTTTCATTTTTCCTTTTTCTTGCTTTTATTTGTAGAGAGTTGTTATTGCTCCAGTATTTGAGCTGGACATGATTTCTTATGTTACTTTGTGGAATCATGGATCTCTCTCTCGTGTGAAAGTTCCCTAAACTAGTCTATGCTACGTGCGATGCACGAGCTGTGCATGAATTATGGTTTAGTTAGCGTATGTATTGAATATGTTTGAAAATATATGGGAAAATGGAATTATTGTCAAGGAACTAACCAGTTATACGAGTTGATAACTTGTCTTTCTCCACAAAATGTCATTTGTCTACCAAAAGTTGCAGAATCAATAAAATTCATTAATAGTGAGAATTCAAGTCATAGTTAGTCAAAGAAGTACTCCACTGTACAATAAAAACATCCCAAGCAAAAAAAAAAAACTAGCATTATAGCAATACATCCTTCAACAAATTATAGTAGATATAAATGTATTATTGTACAGTAAAGAAATAATTCAAGGTAAAACAGAAGTTTGAACTTGAAAATCCTAAAAGTCTAAAACAATAGGTATCCCAAGATCCTGTGGCCCTGGGATGAGTTCCTCTCTCTTTCTTTCTTTGAGCCTCCGTAATATGGAGGCTCAAGGAGGCTCAACAGGCATGAGCCTCCGTAATTACGGAGGCAATAATGCATCCGTCATTTTTTTTCCTTTTTCTTCACTAGTTTTCAGTACAATAATTTAATTTTATTTAATCAACTTAATTTTTTTAATAAACGTGATTCCTAAAATAAATACATAAAATATAGATCAATTTTATTATATATACTGAGATTATATAAATCCTTCAAATGAACAGAAATGTAAATAAATGATAGACATATTAATCACATTTCCAATCGTAACCTTTTGAGTGCAATCCAATAATGTGTGAAACGTGTTAGATCAAGTAGTCACTCACGTCGATAGTTCAATAATTTTTTTCTTCTCACTTTTGTTTTTGGAAAAGTAAAATCAGATTTTTTCGATAACATATTGTCCATTTCTACAACTCGTGTTAATCTATTCTACTATTTTTACACCTAATTCTATTTACTCTCTTATTTATCAACTCATTCCATCCACATTTCAATGATTTCCAAATATCTAAAATTAAACAATACAACATCATTCTTTCATTGGAACTCCTTAATTGAAATATAATGTTCATAAGAAATTTGCACACACATTACGCAAATAGATACATTGTTCCACCAAAATATTTGTTTTATATTCACTTATATAGAAACCACCATATGCGTATATTTCATTTTTTTTTTTATATTTTGATACGGATCCATTGCATACCCCCCCCCCCAAAAGAAGAAGAAAACATTAATAGTAAAAATTCGAAATGAAACCAATTTACACAAAATACAAGAAAAAAATCAATCAAACTCCGTTAAATGAAATTAAGTTGCAGAACGTTCACAAATTTCAATAAAAATAAGAATAAGAACTAAAATTCAGAACAACCAGACCTCAATAAATCCATACAAAATATACAACTAATAATCATAGTTCACAGTTTGTGTACAACAAATCAACATCAACATCAACATCGAAGTTCAACACTATACAAGAAAAATGAAAAATCAAATCACATGAAAGTAGATTTCCCTCTAAGAAACCATCGCCGGAAAAACCTCTAGATATTACTGCTACCACAAACTAAAGAGAAGCCCAACTTGTAATGAAAAACATTTTCCACCACTACCTGCAAACTGCAATAAGGCCAGCAGAAATAACGTTATTCTATCTAGTAAGAACCAAAAAAAAAAATATATGTCAACGATCGAACAAACAGAGAGAACAAATACAAATATATATATATATATACACACACACACACACACATACACACACACACACACATTCGAACCCTCATTTAACATCTCATAAACAAATAATAAACAAATTTCACGGAGCCCAAACTTCGCTCAGGCACAACGATTGGAAAAGAGTTTTACAGAAATCGCAAAAGAATTTTCGAACTGTAGGATGCCTCAAGATCACGAAAGAAAAAAACATTGAAACCCAAAATATAAAATCAACCAACTGAAGAACACGAACACAAAAGCCTACAATAGGTTGGAAGCCCCACAGAAATCAACTTAAAAAAATAATACAAACTATAAGTGAGGAAAAAGAAAGAACTAACTTGTTAGAAAAAAGCAGTTCAAAAACACCGAAATCCTAGCATCGGATACCAAGCAAACAGCTTAAAAATAAGTATAGAACAAATTAATCCATACGTAAAAAAAAAAATATAATAGAAACAGAAATAATATACATACATAGAGAAAAAAGGACCCAATGAAACTCGAAGAGAAGGAGTTAGGGCTAATTTGCGTGGTAAAATGGAGAGAACAGATAGTAGCGTGTGAAAATAGAGAAGAAGAAAGAAAGATTTACCTAAATTGAGGACAAGTGGGTGCATCACTGTAGCTTGTACGTTTTTTTTTTTTTTTTTTTTTTTTGCAGATGACGTTGTTTTTGCCGAGAGATGAAAAAAAAAATTGCTACAGTTCGGGAAATGGAAGAATCTACTGTTCTTTTTACGGTAACTAACACTGTCCTTTTTTGTATAGTAGTGATTAAAGACCCCTTTTGGAACAAAATGACATCTTTGTCCCTACTGAGATTTTGACGCCTTGTTTCATTAACTCCTGTTAGCATGTAGCAAGACGTTATACATGACATTATGAGCACATTTTTTATTTGCTATATCGGATTGGTGGGATATGATTAAAGTGGATTATAATGTATGTTTTATTACGGTATTTTATTTATTTATTATTATTTTTTTTTTATGACCGTGGGTGTTTGGGCCAATTTATGCGCACCTCAACTACTCTCATGGGGCACTGAAGTTTACAACCGGATACTCACCTCAGTGATCCTGAAAAGATTTGAACTGGTGATTATTGGGGAGCAAATCTAAAGCCAATTTAATACACTATTTGGCATTATATTGTTTTAGATGTACAATATTGAAATTTTTTAAAAATATTCAATTATTTTTTTAAAAGTGATTTTCCTTCGGGTGGTTTTATTTTATAATAACCCGTCTTTTATAAGGGTTGAATTTATTGAATTGAGTCAACATAATTTGTTCAATTAATTTATTTTATGTATCATCTACGTCCTATAACGTATACAATAAAATTTATTGCCATTTGGTCTAGTATCATAAGTTAAATGCACTTTATAAGTAACATTACATTCGACATGTTGTTATCTTATTTGTTAAAAAGAATTGATGTGACGAGCTATTAATTTGAGTAGCGGGGCAGCTAAATGGAGGCAATAAATGATAGAATCAACTCTAGTTCTCCAAGAATAGTATACCAATAATTTAGAGAATAATATCTCAAGAATTTGAAAGAACTAAAAAAAAAATAAAAATTGACAGTTCTCCAAAATGGAATAATTCAATTTTGTTCTTTGGGCTACTTAATGGGCTTGGAGATGGACTTCTGATTTAGCCCACATATCTGTGATCAAACTAGGCTCAGCTGACTTGTACTGAAAAGCCGGAAACCCCATGCGCCACGCAAATATTAATGCCCCAAAATTGGATTTTTCAGGACGATATTCGTTTTCAAGCTCACGAAAACCAATCCGAGTTCGTGTTGCTACAGAGAAACAGAATCTTTCGCCTTCAATCCTCTCTAAATTCAAAAATAATCAGGTGAACTTTAATCTCTATATTTATTCTTTTAATTGATGATTAATTCATCACATATCATTTAATTCTGGATTGTTTTACTATTTACTTTTTGATTTTGCTTCGTTTTCCGTATAACCTAGAAAACTACGCCTTGCAAAACCCACAAACTAGGAGTTCATGAACTGGGTAGCTCCATATTCCTAAACCTGAAATATATTGATAATTCAGTTACTTTAATTCCATTAATACTCTATTCGATAGATTAATATCGATTAGTATATGGTGAGTATCCTAGTGTTTCTTTGTAACTTTTTTGAATTTTTCTTTTTCGTGTGCTTGATTCCGGTTAATTTTACCTTTATGAAATTGCTAATGATTTCACGTATATATCTTCATTCGAGTTCATCTATGATTTTAAAAATTTCATAATTTACTGTATTTTTTTGCGTATGATTTAGATTTTTATCCTTTTTCTGTTAGAGTTAGAATTCTGCTTCATATTGTTTTATTTTATCATGTTTTAGTATGTAGTTAGATATCTTATAGTGCAGATAATGACAGAAAAATGTTAAAACTGCGCATGTTTTGTATTATTTCTTCTGTACGATTTTCGGTTTTGAGGTTTTCATGTTAATTGGCACCATTCACAGTGTGGGGCATGATCTATGGTGACCTCAGAAGGGAAATTTTCATGCTCGTCTCGTTCCCACATGGAAAAAGAGAATAGCAAGCTTAGCTATATAGATGACTTCGATGATAGTGCCTGGGATCCGCTAGAAAGTCAGAGTCCAAAGTCCTCGAATCAAAAAGTTTCCTATCCATTTCCAGTTGGTTCTGAAGATATTGTGGATGGAGGGTATGATTCAGGCGAGGATCAGTACAATGCTGAGCAACAAGATGGCCCTCCCGAGGTCAACTTGAGAAATGTATTGAGTGGGTTATTTGCTATTTTGAGCGGGCGTAACAAAAATCATTCTGTTGTAAGCAGCTTCCCCCAGTTACCTTCTTCCAACACTTCATTTCTTGGATCTTTGAAGAACGGTGAAACATTCTTGAATGCTTCTGTATACATACCAAGTGCTCCTCCTCTGCTTGAGCCAAATGCTTTCAATTACACTGCTTACAAGGAGGTGTTGGAAGCCGAACCTCCTGAGTGGCTTCCGGACAGTTCCACTTCAGTTTGTATGCAGTGCAATGCTCCTTTCACAGCTTTGACTCGTGGAAGACATCATTGTCGGTTTTGTGGAGGGGTTTTTTGCAGGGTCTGCTCAAAAGGGAGATGCTTATTACCTTTTAAGTTTAGAGAGAGGAATCCACAAAGGGTTTGCGATACCTGCTATGACAGGCTTGATCCATTGCAAGGAGTACTAATCAACACAATCAGCAACGCTGTGCAGGTTGCAAAGCATGATGTCATGGACTGGACTTGCTTAAGAGGGTGGCTGAATCTTCCAGTGGGTTTGTCCATGGAACATGAGATATACAAGTCAGCTAACACATTGAGGAGTTATTGTCAGGTTCTCCTCCTATTCTTTTGCATGCTTTTTGCAAGTTATTTGCCCCGCTTATTCTAGACACAACCTTGTTATTTAGTTTTTCTAATAAATTGATTTCAAACTGGTGAGAGGAATGACTTGTAAAAAGTTTTCTATTGCACGTCCTTGAATCAATTGTCAGCTTTTTATAATTATCTAATGGCCAGTATTTAATCTAATTGAAACTGAAATTTAATAGAGTAAATCTGAAATGCACAGGCTGCTAGACTGAACCCGGAGAAATCTATCCCTGCTGCGGTTTTGAAAGGAGCCAAAGGTTTGGCAATTTTAACAGTTGCCAAAGCTGGGGCGATACTTGCTTACAAACTTGGAACTGGCTTGGTTATTGCTCGAAAGTCAGATGGGTCATGGTCTGCACCATCTGCCATATTTTCTGTTGGTTTGGGATGGGGTGCCCAGGTATATCATCAGGGTTTACGTTCTGGTATTTTTGGTTTGGTAGGGGATTCGTGATTTTATTTTTTATTTTTTTGAAAGAAATTGAAGTCAATCTTTTCGTCAGTCCTCAGACTGAAATGGAGTTAAATAAATTGGGGATGCTTTAATTTTGACAAATAAAAAAACAAAAGATACCCAGGCATCTCCAGATCGAGAGTAAATGTTTTTACCAAGACTAAAAAAATACAGCAAAAGAAAAGCAATCATCTGACTTAAATTAGTTAGGCTAGTGTCTCATTGATTTGATTTATTAATCAAAATTTTGTTACTTTAAGCTTATGATGTTTACTTGTCATTTGAATTGTAAAGAAGTTACTTTTCTATCTGTTTTATCTCGGTGCTCTACTTGATCACCGCTATTATTATTATTCATAATGAGATATCGTCTTTTAGTTGAGTGGTTTCAATTTCATCACATTATATGCGAGTTTTGATAATTTGTCACTGATGATTATCGTCCTTTTCCTAATTACAGGTTGGGGGCGAACTCATGGATTTCATTATTGTGTTACATGACAATAAAGCCGTGAAAACATTTTGTAGTCGCTTGCATTTTTCTCTTGGTGCGGGTTGCAGTGCTGCAGCAGGACCAATTGGGAGAGTTGTGGAGGCCGATTTGCGAGCTGGAGAGAAAGGTTCTGGAATGTGTTACACTTACAGTTGCAGTAAAGGTAATGCATTTCAATTTCTTATCCGTCTTGGAAATCAAAGTACTTTAAATCTATTGTATTAACATTTTGTGATTTGCATTAGGATTATCACATGGACTGTTTTATTAAAAAGGAGAAGAAATCGAAACAAGTTAAGAAGCCATTCTTTGGACATAGCATGCAAACATTTCTTTTTCTTTTTCAGGAATCCTGTTCATCTTGCCCAAAGACAAACCCAAATCAAGTTATGTTCATATATGAAGTTGAAAAATACCAATCTGACAGCTGTTTAAGCTAAGCTCTGGGGAAATAAACTAGTAAATAGGAATCTGTCTTCTGTAAGGTTTACATTATCAGTGCAAATGCCATCAGGGGGCTCTTAGGTTAGGGGCATTATTTTGGATTGGCCACATAATTCCATTCTGAAATTTAACAATGGGGATGATGACACTGGTATATGAGTTTTGTTTTAGTTAACAATTAGAATGGCGTTAAAGCTGTTTAACCAACTTATTGATTATATATTGCGCTTTATGAAATAGCAGTTGGTTTGCCCCGACTCACCATCCTCGGCTGCCACTGAATAGTTCTTTTATTATTCTTATACTTGGTCAGAAACTGATCAATGGTAGTTCTTCATGTAATTGTTATTGATGCCTCAGGTGCGTTTGTGGGAGTCTCACTGGAAGGAAACATTGTTGCGACAAGAATGGATACAAATCTTCAGTTTTATGGTGATCCATACCTTACTACAGCTGATATCCTTCTTGGGACTGTGGATAGACCGAAGGCTGCTGAACCATTGTATGCTGCCCTTCGAGACCTTCACTACAAACTACGCTGCTAGTTCTTGATTTGCTTGCATCTAATTATGCCTTGAAGTGGCCTAAATGGAAATCCTTTTGGGTCATGATTGTATATGTGTTGGCACTGCTGCTTGTTTGCTGACGAAATATTTGGTAGATACATTGTTCCACATGATACGATCTTGTTCTCATGGTTCGATGTGGTAAAAATATCTTTTAGGGACTCAGTTGTATATTTGCTATCCCATTCTATTATTTGTTATGCTTGGAAAAGAATTACGATGCAGGGCGTCAAAACTTGTACATAGACCATAAATACGATTAGTTGATATTTAATATTATGTATTGATGGAATTCGATATATAGTGAATTGCTTTACTCTTTTACTGTATTTTTGTTCTCTGAGCTTTATGATTTCTTCGAGATGCAGATTTTGTAGTTGAATGCTATACCGAGTCAGTTGCCAACTTTTGACAATTGATCAAAAGTTGGCTTTTATAATGCAGGGTGGGTTGGTTGTTAAATTTTTTTTGGGCAATAAATGTTTGAAATCTTCAATAAATTTAGCAATTAATTATCCTAAGTGATGGTCGACTTAAAAGAAATGCTCAGTCTGATGATTTGATTTGATTTATTTTTTTGAAACCCAATTCTGCATACAACTTATTCAGTTTTTGCACAACATTTGGGAATTCATATCAATTTCCACTCTGTTTCTTTTTATTTTATTTTTTTCAGTGTTACTCAAATTTTTGAGTGTAACAAGTGAATGATAAATGGAGTAACCATATTTCAGAAAATTCCACATTTTGCGTTTTGGCATTGTGACTCCTTGGATGGGAGTAGCATAAAGACGCGTTAAAAGTCACCAAAACATGACATTTGCCTATCTTGAATCGTGCCATTTTGTCATATACGACGTTTTCATAGCATGAAATAAGCATAATGTCTTGAACTCAAAGACATTTTTAGTCATTTGTGCTAAGATTCACTCTTAACTGTTGGTTCTTGTACTGATAACCAGAAGCACTGCACAAGTGAAATCAGGTAAATCTCCACCTGTTTATTAGAAACGAGAGTGCACATTTCAAAATTGTGTTCATCTTTTCGTTCATAACAGTAATGTGATTTCACGACTCTAGACAACTCACTGTGAGGAAATAGTCGAGGATTTGACAGATCCGCTAAAGAAGGGCCGAGGTTAGAACTAGTCCGAACAGGGGTGCACCCACATGGGGTCATGTGGGGTCAAATGACCCCACAAAATTTTGCCCTTTTTTTTTTTTTTTAAACAACCTATTTGATGCACTCGTCGAGATGTCAAATGAAGTCAAAATATTGCATTTTTAATACCATTTCAAAGTACTCATGACCTAGTTTTTTACTCATTAATGGCATGCGAAGTGGTCAATTATAGCAAAAATTATGACATGTTAAAATAGGGCGTTTGAAACTAGTATTTTAAGAATTTCGATAATATCCTAATTTTAAAAATTCGTTTGCGATCATATGCTATTTGAATGCACAAATCGTCTATGTCATGTAAAAGTTTGATTCGAAAATTACATCGTTTTCATATTGAATAGTCCAAATGGATATCGAAAATAGTTAAATATTTATCAAACGTACGTCTCAAAAAAGAAGTCTAACTCGTTTTTTCTTTTAAAAAATTTAATTAATTATTATTTTTGCACAATAAATTTTTCAATATAATTTATATCGTTTCATTCAAAAGTCTTACATGAAATATGACGTAAATTTTTTAGAGTCGTTACGGATTAAATGCATTTTGAATTACTTTCGAATTATATTTACTTTAAATTTGAATTTCATTTACTTCCTGAACTAAACTTGAATTTTATTTCAATTCATTTAATTTTTATATTCAATTTAATTCACTCAATGTTAGCTCAACATTTGTCAATGAAATGATAAACAAAACTATCAAGTAGCAAAATTTATTTAATAATATTAATAATGATGTAATTATACCACGTTTTCAAAGTATCAAAATACATATAAACTTATTTTCATTGATATTATGTTTTTTATTAAAAAAATTATTTTTAAACTTTTGACCCCACGATGCTAAAGTTCTGGATCCACCCCCTGAGTCCGAAGCTTGATAGAAGACTCTTCATAACCGGTTTGAAGATGGCGATGGTGATTGAGCCGGTGCTAAAGTTCTCTGAGTTTGATAAGCCATATTTGGAACTAAAATCAAACCCCATCATCATAAGGAAAGGAAGTAGAACCCAACCATTCCTCTCCAGCAACAAACATAGAAACTGTAAAATTAGATGCATCATAATAGTCCATTATATGAAAGCCCTGCCAAGAAACTCTGTCATCGGTTCTTGAACCAGGGCCATAGTTTTCATACTCCCCATAATACAGCGTGTCCAAACCTTGATCCCCCACCCAATTTGTCCACCCTTCTGCTGCAATAAAATCGTCAATATAGGACTCCAAATAAACTGTCCTCGAATAATTTCTCCAGGGCCTTCCCAGAAAACTCTTGAAACGGCTCGAATTAGAGTACAATTCATCAGTAGCCAGAATAGAACAGTTTTGTATCGAAATTCCAGTATCCTCATCAGGGGTGTCCCTGGATTGTGCTGTGATCACTGTACCTTGTCCTGCCAATGGCATTCTGGAGATTATGTTACAGCCCTGGAAAACAACTGCTGCATTTCCAAAAATGTAGTCGATAGTCCCAGAAATGTCACATTCTCGGTAGAATTGTCTGAAGGAGTGGACATATAATGTATCTTGGTATCCATTAATGGAGCACCTGTAGATTGCAGATAAGTCTGCATTAACACGAAGGGCTACAGCCTGGTGCTTTTCCGGTCCTGCTGTGTTCTCGAAGGTTATGTCCCGTGCCAAGAATCCCTCCCCGGAAACAGCTGAAATTAGTAGAAATAGAGAACTTGATCAGAAATACTGCTGCAGATGACATTAAAACATCACTAGCATGTTCTTGGTTAGTACAAGTAATTAAGAATGATGAATTTACACTCAATTACGCTATCTGGAGGTTAGAGATTTAAATATATAAATTGCTAAACCACCTCGTCTAAAAGTTTAAGTTGAAAAAGACTGTTGGTATATGTAGTTTTGAGATGGCTTTAACATGCATAAATAGGTGGCTTGCAATCTTTGACCAATCTTCCGGACGAAAGAAACGAGCCTAAACGTTACATGCAACAATGTAGTTGGTATTTAGTATGAGAAAATGTAAAGGAATTTCATGGGGAAATTTGAGTTTACCAACAGTTGCAGATCTGAAAGTAGTCCAACCATCTGCTACATTTCTATTGCCACTAATCACAGTGACATCAATCCCATCACCAAGAAGAACAATATTAGGCTTCCAACTTGGAATCTCCACATTTTCTTGATAAACCCCTTCTTTAATGTAAATGATTATTCTATCAGCACTGTTACTCGGAGCGAAATTTATCGCTTCACTAATCGTAGTAAAGTTTCCTGTTCCATCGGCTGCTACCGTGAGCATTTCGTTGGGATCATATTCATCGCCAGAACTCTGCAATATCCGGCGAGATTTTCTCGATATCCACCCTGGAACACCCAGAAGCCGCCGGTTTTTATGGCCTGTGGGTGCACCGGCCCTGGAGAGAAATGACAGGGAATTGCTTACATGCTTATAAGTTGTTGTCAATGAATAAATTAAAGATGATTTTAGAGGGCCAGAAGCAAGGTTTAGGCCTTCTAAACAAGTGATTTTATTAGTTAGAGCTGCACTAAGAAATGCCCTGGAATCAGATAATTTTCTTGAATCAGATGAACTGATCCAAGACATGGATTTTCTTAAGGAAGACAGTGTTATTTGGTGCAGCTCCTTGCAATCTTGGATTGTACCTGTTATATAAGATGCAATCTTGTTGTTAACTAATAATGAAAATGGATACAAAGACAAGAATATAAACGGCCACAAACCAGTAATCTTCCAGATCACTCCGAGAACGAGTCTTTCTCTCCCCGACTGCACTCAGGCGCTCGGGGGGTGATCGCTGATCAGATAACCAGGGCCAAAAAGAACAAGGTAAAAGAAAATGCTACTCTCAAATACCAAACCTGAGTTACAATAAAATCCAACACATTACCTTTCTGTTTTTCGAAGAGATTTGTTTGTCCAGCACCAGCTAACAAACTTGAAACTTTTGCACCTTCAAACAAGGCAGTTTTGAGTGATTGGAGGAGAAAATTAAGAATATTTGGAGATATATCTATAGAAATGGAGAGTTTTAGTGAATCAAAACAGGCATCAGGGTGTGGTGTGGAACTGCATAATGATCTTATGTGAGTGAGATGGGATTCTTCTATGGAAGCATTGAGGGCAAAAGTTGAGAAGAAAATAGAAAATAGCAGAAGGCAAGATTTGAAAATGGTGGTGGCCATGGCTTTGAAGTTAACAGAGGAATTCTGGAGCTCGATTCTCAGTCTGTTTTATACTAGAAATCTCGAGTTAAAGAATAAAGACCAAGTTAACTTTCTGGAGCCAAAAAAAATCGAATAAGTTTTTTCAAGTAAAAAAATGTTACAGTCAATTAAATGACAAAATAAGCAACTTATTTTTAAGGTTCGAGAATAGTGGAGCCATCACTGTATATTTTCAGTCTGTTCTATACTGTAGTCTGAGGCAGTGAAATAAATTGCTAGATATTAGTGTTCTTAGAATTATACATTTTTCGACGACTCTGTCTCATCGATGAACAACACTTAATACATCGACACTGACATGATTAAAGAAAAAATTTGTATATATTTTCAATTGTGCCAAAGTGTTCGTACTTTCGCGACTACAGCGACTAAAGATTTACAAAATCGTTCGTACTGCTTAGCAGATGATGTTCGAAGTTCAAGTTAGTCGAGTCTATGAGACAAATAAACTGTTATTGGCAATTATATGTAGTATAGAATGAATAGTAGAAGGTTTTAATGTTTTATTCTCAGTCATAAAATTTATTTACATTTATTTTCTCTAATATTATTTAGTTCCGTGTACTAAATAAAACTAAATAATAGTTAAGTGGCATTAAGAAAAAGAATTTAAGATTTACGAGAATTTAGATAATGACAAAATATAAAATAATGAATTTTATCATTCACGAGAGAGAGTCAGAGAGAGAATCCAAGACTGTTCTAATCTGCTATACAGTTTGAGTGATTGGAAATGGGGGGCTGAACCCGGCGGTGGCCGTGAATACGTTGTTAAATACTTTAATTTTCTCGTAATCCGTGGCGGACCCAACCACCCTCACCCGTAATATTTTAGTATTTTTAAAATTCTTGATAATTTAAATATTTTTTTTATAATATACTTACAATATATGTATATTTCGTCACTTAAATATTTTTCGCCCTTCAAACGATAATCCTAGCTCCGTTACTACTTGTGTAACGGTTTGATCTATCTGAAAAACTAAGTCATGTCTTGCTCTTCAAATTCGTAGCCCGCATCATCGTTCCTTGCAAGTTTTTTTTTTTTTTTTTAAAATAAATTGTCGATACATTTTTTGGATAATTTGATCATAAACGAGCTGTTAACAATCTTGTCATGCCATGTGAGTAGGTCCGTGACAAGGATTACTTGGCCACTTCAAATGTAAGTGAGTCTGTAATGTACTCATGCATGTTAAAAAATATAATACTTAGCGAGATTGTATGAAATTTCAAGAACTTGAAGAACGAAGTCAAACATAAAAAAAATAAAGGTGGAGTGGGAGCAGTTTTGCTCTGCTTGGGTTAAGCGAGATTGTATAAAACTTCAAGATTTGATCATTTAGTATGCTTTTCAATCCTACCTCCTTCGGATGTTCGATTTTCAAATTTCATGTTTTTTTTTTTTTTTTTTTAAATCTAGTGGTTTCCCATGTGCTAGTTTGTTTCATGATGATCAAATAAATTCCTATATTGTATATTTTTTAAATATAAACCGACCAAATTTTTTATTAATAAACAGGAAGACCAAAAACAATGTAGATAGCCCATTTTGTTGTCTGCCTTACAATCTTCTAGTAATTGTGTCGGCAACATGCTGTGCAGTGTTAATAGCCAAATGAATTAATTGCTTTCTATTCAGGTCCGTTTGACATTATTTTTTAGAAAAAGTAATGTTATTTATAGTCGGTCTACGTAGAATATATGTGACTATTAGTGATTTGATATATTAGAAATTGCTTTTCACCTTGAAAAGCCATTTTTAGGCTCTCTTTGTCGATTTATTCGCTTTATAAAATAAAAAAAGAAATTATGTCCTTTTAATTAGGTATGGTCCATATTTGAAGATGCTAATCACGCGAAACCATGCGAATATCTTCATATTAAGTCGGCATAATATTTTGGAATATAGCAAATTGTATCCTTGTGAAGTTTGCAAGTTGCAAATAGTTCAAAATATTTTGTAAAAACAAACAAAATAACAACAACAACAACAACTACGTTCAATTAATTAGCATTGAATATTTGAGGAAATAATTGACTTGAGTACAATTTTACGGGGGTGTCCCCATTTTAGAGTTTAATAGATTTCTTAATATTTATAAATTCTCATGGATTGTGTGAAATTTGATAGAATTTAATAGATTTCATAAAATTTGAATGGATTTCCATTTTATAGATTTTAAAAGATTTTCATGGATTTTATAGATTTCAATGGATTTTATAGATTATGGGTAAAATTTATAAATATGCTTAACATAAGCCGCAAATTCTTACTTCTTCTTTAACGACTCATTTTTACACATATGCACGTTAATAAATCACAGAAGATGATCGAATCCTTTTTCAATTGTTTGTTAAATATTGAATATTATAACAGAGTTTCAATAAAAAATACACCCAATAGTCAACAAAATGCGAGAGTGGGAGAGGACAAAAATATGTAGTGTTAAATAATCAAAGTCGTAATCAATATGAATTAATTCAAAAGCCCACAACCTTGTGAGATACAAACACACAGATGTACACATACATCACCACAAAGCAATTAATTTCATACCCCCAGAATTCTCATTGACCATACAGACACAAAAGAAAAAATTGTGGAATACCATCTTCTCATGTCTTGACTAGGATTTGCAGGTATATATAGAAAACACACCGCTCTTCCCAAGAAAAATGAATAGAGTATAGAAATTGAAAGACGAAGTTGTTCCAGTATGCATACTAGAAATCATAAATTACCATGATAATTTTCAGCACATCTATAAAATAGTAAACAATATATAGTTTCAATAAGAAAAAATAAGTTCAATAAAAAATCACACCCAATATTCAACAAAAAATAGTAATCTTTCATAAATTATCATCAATTGAAAAGTTCTCATACACGATCTTTTCACAGTAGAGAAATGTAAGATAGAAAGAAGAAGAAAATCTTATTCAAGAGGGGGGGAGGGAGAGAGAGAGAGAGAGAGCAAATATGAAGAGGTGAGAAATGTTGTGAAATTTTTAGGTTTGGGTTAAAATTGTTAGTGATTCTTTGTACTTATATTTTTACCTTGAAATCCTTCAAAATCTATCTACTTAATAAAATCTTTTTAAAATCAACTAATTATTGAGAACATCTAAATTTGAAAACTACCTATTAAAATCTATGTTGAGGACACTTAAATTTATAAGTATTTTTAAAAATCTAGATTGTGGACATCTATATTTTAATGAATTATATTTAAATTTGAATTGAGGATACTTCAATTTATATAAAATTTTAAAATTCATCAAACTCTAAATTGAGGACACCCCTTAGTTCGCATGTTAAGTCATTTCTTGCTTGAGTCAATCCATATAAATTGAATAATTAAAATTGGTTAATAAAATACTCAAGTTTAATGATCTATTTTACTAAATTATAATTCTACATGCGGATTAAATTGAGTATTTCTTTAGTTCTAATATAAAGAGAGATATTGTAGCCCCATATACTATCAAGTGGTTTCTAGTTTAATTGAGTATACAAAACGAAGTTTAAATTTTATTTCCGTAAATAGTTTTTACGAATTATTTTACGATTTTGAAATAACTATCTTATTATTTCTTGTGGCACGAAAGTATAAACAAGAGTTATAATTTTCAATCACAAGTATCTAATCATGATTAATGAGACAAGATTTGGGAACCATTTATTTTTCTTGGTAATTAAGAATCCTAAAACTTTTTCTACACTAAACAAATGATAGATCCAACTCAGACCGCTTATGTACAAGCTAATCTCAAGATCCAAATTGGAGGGCCTTAACAAAATTGTAGGCTCAATCACAAGGAAGCAGATCATCGCCAAACAAATAAAGCATTCGCTCGACGGCCCAGCTCGGTGATGACAGTTGCAGGGTAGAAGGCGGAAGTGGGCTAACGGCTAGCAACGACACCCTACAGAGCGGACATGTCAACCGACTATCATAAACAAGCCATCTCTCAAGACATTGCTTGTGGAAGACATGGCAACAATTTCTAAGCTCCCACACCTCGTTTTTCTTCCTCAACCGGTTCAAGCACACAGCACACGACGTGTCATGACTTTCGGGCAACCTACGGGTCATGTCACCGAAGGTGGTCAGGGTGAGACTGTCCTGAACCATCTTCAGGTTGGCCGAAGAAGAAGAGGAGGATTTAAATAAAGTTCGTGTTAACGCCTCTGACGAAAAAGAGAACAGGCTTATTGAATTCAAGAGAGTATGGGCAAAGGACAAGAGACATCTTGTGACAGCAAACACAAGTGCTGCTTTGCACAGCAGAAAATTATCACTCACAACCATAGAAATTGCAAGTAGAGAGAAGGTGAGAAGGGGAGGGGGGAGAGTTCTTAATGGCCTAAGGCAGATATTTATAGATATAGACATGTACATACAACAACCTGAAATTTACAAAGTGGGTGACGTGTGGGGAAATGTGGGTGGGTGGGGTGTCATTTTCCTTTTTCTGCTTTACTTTGTCATAGCCAGTAAGAGTAAAAAGAGACTTCAAAGCAAAATGTTGGCCATGTAAAAAGTATATCAGTGACATGCACATGAGCATCTCCTCAAAAGATGTACCAAAGAAGAAAAAGATGGCATTTTACACATAGATCTGATATCACACCGCCCATTTCAACTTTCTCTAATGTTATATCATATGTATGAAAAGAGGAAAGTAGACATGTTTATCCAACCATAAAGTAGCTTTGGAAGATGATTTTAAGCTTAAAATAGGTACCTGCATTTGGTTAGGGAATACTTTATCAGCATCTGCATCCACTCCAACTTGCTTTAGGCTTCTGAAATGCACCTTTCTAGTGCTCCTCAACTTCCAGGAAGCTTCAACTACGATCTACTAGATAGAAGATGTCCACTAATTTTTATCTTGTTTATGAAAGGACAAGGTTACTTTTTCGAGTTTCACATTATGCAATCAAGATATACAGAGAAAAAGAACACATGTTCAAGCGAAATAAGGGAATACGTGGACTTGGATGCATCAATGTAAAACCTACAGTGAACCTAAAAAGAGTTTATGGATCTTGCATTACGAAAGTGATACTCCATACACAAGCAAATTGCAGATGTTAGAGTTTATGTGCAAACACCCCCGGTCCACCACCGAAATAAAAGAAAACAGAAACAACAAGAAATAGTGGATGAAGCAAAAATATATCATCATTAAAAATGGAACTGATTATTGCATCATTGCTATTGTAATTCACAACATGGGTGATGAATGAAAAGGGTGTCAAAGTTTTTATGATTAAGGGTTTGATCATTGATCAGGAACACCAAATACATGGTTAAATCTCAGAAAACATTTGATTACAATCACCAGTTGTTGCAGACAGCAAGCCAACTTTCCACATCTAAACGTAGAAACAGAATGTTTCTCATAAATGCCGTGTCATGGATCCACTCGTACACTTTCTTCCATCTTCTTCTTCATTCTGTATTGCAATGTGGCAGGAGCACAATCTAGTGGCGTTTCACCTGAATTCACAAACAGTGAGATGGTAAAAAGAAAAGTAGTTACTTTACTGAACTTATTGCAGCCTAGTCTTAAAGAATATAAACCTAGCAACTGTTTGGAAACCATTAAAAAGATTTTTTTTGGGGAAAATGAGTTTTGGAATATTGATTGTTTGTCATCCATTTTTTCATAACCTTTTTTCTCTCATCCATTTTCAATCACACATTCACACAATAAATAAAATATTTTGCACGTAACCCGAAAACTTTTTCCTAATTTTTAACCACACTATTTCAAAACTCATTTTCCCCCAAAAAGAACTCATTAAAATGGATGTCAAACAGGGGAGTTAATACAGAATGACATGATGAGTGAAGCATGCCAACTGACAGTTAGAGAAGACACTATCTAATAGAAAGACTGGCAAAAAGGAAAAGTAGGCCATATTTTGCTTGCAGAATGGCACAAATGACAAGCACGAGGGCTGTTCAATTGCTTGCACGATATAGAGGTTTGGCAATGAATTTACATGATCCGTTCTTTCTAACTGTCACAGGAACAATTAAGGTAACAATATCTGTGTCCCAAAACCATAAGACTGTCCCACAAACCAATCAAACTGAATAAGATATGAGAATCGCTTGCCTTGTAAATTCTTGCAGACCATGCTTGCTCCATGATCCATGAGAGCAAAAGCTATCTCAGTTTGATTAAAAACTGCTGCCTATGGCATTAAATCAAGTCAACAGATGAGTATTCAAATGACTTAATTCTTTTGATGCAAGTCAGTGAGAAAGGTTCTATTGATGCAAGTGAGAGTGAGAGAGGGAGTACCAGATGTAATAAAGATGACCCTTGTTTGTCACAGTAATTTGCGTCCACTCCCTACATGTTTGAAATTATTCAGTTTTCTATCAGCACATAGAAAGCACCAGAAGTCACAATACCATTGAGAATAAAAAAGGTACCTGACTCAAAAGCTTCTTAGCAGAAGCTGTATCACCATTTTTTATTGCTTCTCTCAAACCCTAAGCAATAGTTTGCAAAATACTTGTAAATTAGAGAGATTGATCGTTCCCTATTCAAAGTTCTTGTTTATGTGCAAATAATATATAGAAAACTTAGTATATTCACCAACCCATCACAGTGTAGATCTCATACCTCCCCACTAACGTCATAATCCGTGGATGATCTATCCAGGCTGTTGTTAGTAGCTTGACCAAGGTTAAATATAGTACTGCAAGATATTCCACATTAATCATAGTACAGAGAATCTGAAGCATATTAAACAATTAATTACATTAAACCATGAAATCTTGTGACAGATGCATATAATAGTGATGTTCATAGTAACTGCAAGGTTTTGTATTCCAGTTCAGGGAGGATCATTTGGTATTCATTCCACATTGCGCTCCCAGAACCCAAATCTAGAGGAACAATACTAAGTAATGAGCTTCTTGTCATGTTTACCTCCTGGATTAACAGAAATGTCATTGTTGAAGATGGACACCCTGATAGCCCTTTTCGCATGAGCTGCAAGTGTCACAACTCACAAGTTCCCATATAATATCTGGGCCATATCATGGGCCAACTACATAATTTTTATCACCTTTTATGTCACCATGAGCATGTTGTTAGAAGCTTGCTTCCAAGTTCCATAGGGGATGACAATAATGCATTATTTTGTTTGCCTCACCAACACAGATGACAGATTCTGAATTCATGTAGCTTCAAAGCCATCATCTGAGGCACTATTCCATATATTCTTCATACTTCCACAAAGTTGGAGGTTCAACTCTAGTTCCCATATAAATTCGTGCTAGAAACTAATGTGATGCAGGGGGGAGTGCACTAAAAAGTAAAACCTTTTACAAAGGACTAAACTCTTAAAAAGGAAGCCAAGGTAGCAAGCCCAAAATGTTCTTTAATATAACCAAATTCATAACTGATAAAAAAGTACTTTTTACAAAAAAGAAATTTTAGGAAAATGATAAGCTAAAAACTCTAAGTTGTCAACTTAATATTTTGTCTCAGATGGAATCATAACGTCAAGGATCACAATGACTTGGACATAAATAACTATAAGATCCTACATTACTTAAAAACAAAGCCACATAGTAAACCATATTGAGTAATGAAATGTAACATAAACAAAAAGGTGATTTATGAAATATTTTCTAGATTTACTGGTTAGAGTATATTCATGTAGCCGATCAAAATTTACTGGGAATAGATTTGGTGGTTGTTATTGGTCAATCTTACGCATCACAATGCCCAATAGAAAGATAGGTTAGTATAATTTACCAAGAAAACTAATAATAGGTAATGTATATTTGACATGAAATGTGTATGTCAAGACGGACGTAGGGAGAAGATCAACAAATTAAACGAACATTTGTATACCTGGATTTGCTGTTTGATGTTGAACCTCTGCTCTTTGGAGTTGGGTCTGCCTTCTTTGGTTTTGGAATCGATTGAACTGTGGGAACGGACGTAGTTTGTACCTGCTGCAATAAAATGAAATTCCTGAGGCCTAAAAGGCTCACTCAAGATGCATTACCAGACACGTGAGCACTTACCTGTAAGGAAACAGAATCCATTCGAGGAGCTGGAGCTTCACAAATACACAAAGGCATTCCACACTTGCACTCTAAAATGCCAGGAACTGGTAGTTTCTCAGCTGTTGATTCAGATTTGGTAACTGCAACTACATTCATATCCAACCTCGAAACTGAATCTGTTACAGCATTAACTCCATTTGAAAAAGCTGGTGTGTCATCTTTCTTCGATCTATTAGTACATTGTTCAATTAAGGAAGTTTGATACATGAAGATGTCAAAAACAAAACCTTTTCACCTAAAAGTAATGGTAAAAAATGAATTTAAAGTTCCTCAAAAATTCTGTGGTTGTGCCATGAGAAAGCTAGTGAAATAAGCAAGAATCATACTTGAAAAAATCAAAAAGACATCTCACTTCGGCTAACAATATAATTCAAAGGCGGCCTTAAAACAGACTGAATATGAACAAGAAGCATGAATGCACGATGAAGAAATTTGAACCTAAACTCCAGGATTAAATACGGTGCATGCTTGCATGATATAATGTACACATTTGCTATCTTTACCGAGAATCACCCAAATTATTCAACATTAGACAGCTTGTTCTTCAAGATCAGAAGAGCATCGATTGGCGATTGGACTTTTTGAAAAGTTAGTATTTTAGAATTGAAGGCAATTATTAGTGAATATATGGTGGCAATATTTTCAGCAGCCCCATTGTGGCTTTGATTGATTAATACTCATCACTTGTTAGTGTTTACGTTTGATAACTTAGAAAGTCAAACATATACTCTGGCTTGGACAATCCACACTCACAAATAATGGAAATTACCTGGAGGCATTATTGAAACATTGAGCACATACTCTCACGCCAGAGTAAATACCAAATTGTGGCAAGGCCTGAACAAAAGGAGAGAAAAACAGAGAAATCAAATACGTAATATCTTAGCCACCGTTCGGGAAGAATTTAAAACGGTTTAATTAATAAATAGATAGAAATAAGCGGTAGATAAGCGGATTATACTTGTGGGTCTATTGAAATACAAGGTAAAAAATGAAATTTAACTATTTATAAATAACTTATATATTTTGCCAAATGGAGGCTTATGTGTAGACCATACCTCATGCATAGGCACACATTTATGAATATATAGAGTACATACCATTTGGATCGATGAATGTTCAGCACATAAAGTTTGGCCACAACATCGGCAGTGATGCTGCAAAAATGGAGGGAAAGATGACAAGACATAAAGAAGGTAATAATTGGTAAATAAATAGAATTAAAAAACAGCGGAATAGATATCTAAAGGAGATTGTCTCCGTCTCGTCACTAGGAGAAAAATAAGAGCACATGAAAAGTTCTCCAGTTTCATGTAAACAGGTCCATGCATGTATACCTAAGTTCACCATAAAGTATAAAAACGATGATCTATTATCTGGCACCTTCATCAGCCTTGCATTAAGAGTTAGAGCCATAGACATTGAACCAACAAATACACTTCAGGGAAAACATGGAACCTGTTTGGTGTTTCAACTTTCGAGTTTCCTTCTCAGCTGCTTCTTCTCCGCTAAACAGTGAATCCCCCCTTGATAATAGAACTCAAAAGTTGCTAAAGGATAATTGACTCGGGAAAAAAACATGGTCAAATCCTTCCAACCTGATTGGACATATCTCTTATATCATTGGGTTCACTCAGCCTTTAAGTTTACTTGGTTGCAAGATGCCAAGACCGATTCATTTCAAGACCAATATGCATTAAATGTTACTTTTGTTTAAAGAGAAAGAATGAGATATTAAACCTCAAGGTGTAATATATCTTCCTGGATTTGATTCCTAAATTTGGGTGCTCAATGCTCATGAGACTTTTCATTCTAGCCTCAATTAGCACATGACATCAAACTGGATCATAATTTGTAAAGCGTTACTTAATAAACCTATAGTGCAACTCCAAAAATTGTCATGAATTTGAAGAATGTCAATGGGAAGGACCGGGCTGACTATTACCTTCCCGCCCCACTGGGGATTTTTGGGAGGCTGGGAGTGGACAAGGTGAGGCAGGAATTAAAGATCCCCATTTATCGGCCCATTTAATTAATTATTTACTTTTAAATATTTTTTATGTTTTTAGATACGATTTGAATTGAAAAACATAAAAGTAAAATAAAAAATTTGGTGCAAGTTTGGGAAATTTTGGGTTGGGGACCATGTTCCCCGTCTCTGTCCCCGTCCCATTTACCATTCAAGATGGGGCAATACAAATTTTTTTGTCATCCCTATCAATATGCCAACATTTGTCATTGAAAGAAGACTTTACGCATGAGACAATAGGTTCAAAAACAAAGATAACAGTAAAACTTGTTCAAATACGACAACCAAAAGTTGAAATAATGAAGTTCAAGTCTATTAATATCACTTCCCAAAGCAGTAAGCGTTGATTTTCCTAGTGGCTAAAGGCTAAAATTACTCTAAATTCAATTGCTTAATTTAAACCACATCTCATCAGCATTGGGCTGCCTCATTTCCCTATGTAATACCTGGTAAATGAGTAAATGAGTTGGCGAATTAAGACAATTTTGTTTGCATTCAGAAAGTGGCTAAAGCAAGTCAGAATCTCCATGAAATCCTCAATCTTAGAATCTACCCAAACTCCTCACCCCTTATTAAACACCCAGAGCTGTTATCAATATAGAATATGCATCCACTAATCTCATATCATTAACCATATGACCATCTATCTACAAGGAATTTTAAACCTTTTAGTATCACAATTTAGTCCTTCATTTCTACTTAAATTCCATAATTCATTCATTTAAAAAAAAAAATTATAATTAATTGTTCGTGAGGGTTCTCACTCTTCCTTTCCAAATTCAAGCACGTAATTTGCATCTCCCAATTTCAACAATTCAAGTACACACTCCATTTCTCAATAGCCATTACAAGCTTCATCTCTCCTCAACGTACTTCATTAGTTGAATACTCAACAACCATTGAGCCCCTTCATTTTCTTCCACATTCATCACACAACATCTGCCATATCCTAAGCTACTCAGAAAAACTAAACCTTTACACAAATTGCGTGAAGCATCACCATCTACCAAACTTAGAACCCACGAATTTCTCCACCAAACAATAAAATAACTGTTCAGTCCACTAGATCATTATCCATAATCTCAGTAACTTACTCAGTAATCCAGTGCAATCAACTCATTCTAAATTAATTAAAAACAAGGAAAAGGGAAAAATCCAGATGCAAATGATCCGAATTCCAACATACAATGAATTATCAAATTCACGCTATACAATTAATTATACAAAACACCGAAACGATTGAAATAATCTGAGAAACGAACAAAAAGAGTACCCGACGGCGGAAGGGGGTGAAGCTGCATTTGCAGACGTTACAGCGCGAGGATTCTTCGAATGGAGGGGGCTCCATTGACATTGATGCTTCCTCAATTCCAAATTCCGACTGTGATTTGATCAAAAAGAATTTGCACTCAGATTACTCCGGTTTTGTTTTGTTTTTATTCATATTTTTATATAATTTTCAGTAAAATTGGTGTCTCAACTTTAGTGAAATTGCATCAGAGCCACTGAAATTTGTTTGTTGTCTCAAATTGATCCCTAATCTTGTGAATTTATTTTATGTTAACACACTCTCGGTTCATATAAAATTAACATAAAAGTCTAACAGCATCTCGAGTTTTTAAATATGAGATAATCTGTATTTTTAAATAATCAATTTTTAAAATCATACTCCAAGATATTTTTTAAATTCATATTTTAATCTAGAGAGTGAGTATAACTCTCCAAATTCACTCAAAGTAAATTTACTCTCTATAATTAAATACAGTTAAAGTGTTTTAATTTTCAAAAATTTTAAAATAATAAAATAATTTCAAAAATCTAGTTAAAATAAAAGATAAAGAAAAATAATAAATTTTTTTATAGAGTAGTAAAATTAAGTTTTAAATATAAAGAGTTTGTTGGAGTATTTCAAAATTTGAATTTTTTAAATTTATAGATATTCTCCAAATGATAGAATATACTACTTAAAAATAGAAAGTCTTTTTAAGTTATTCTAACATGACATTAGGCTAATTACTAAAAATACACAAACAATACGTGATTTAGAAAAAATGAAAATCTTAATAATTCAGATGAAACAACATTGAAGTCCACAATTAGCTCATTTTTTTATTTTTAATAAAAATAGTTTTTCTGAGTAATATTTCAAATATAATAAATTATTTATTTGTGTATTAAAGAATTAGCCCTTGTTTGAGACCCGTTCTCTGGGGAAAAAAATGATTTTTTCAACAGTATTTTGACTTCATTTTAACTACATATTTTTTAATAAAATAATATTACTTGAAATCCAAAAATTTTTAACCATATATTTTTCATCAATACACTATTCAAAAATTCATTCTTTTTTCCCAAAATGGGACTCAAACGAGGGCTTAATACAGTTGAATCTAGTTTAAGCAATGATTCCCCCCCCCCCTTCCAACCCCCAATATATTGATATCCAATTCAATTTGTTGGATTTGTTAAATTATAGGGGATTTTGTTGAAATTTATCAAATCTTGAGGGGTCAAAATGAATAAACCCAATTCACCTTTCGACTTAATGGAAATTAACAGGGAGGGATCCCCGAACCCCGCTCCCCGATGTGGGCTCGCCTTTTTTTTTCCCTAACATTTTAAAAATTTCGAGTTCTACTATTATTAGTGAATAAAATATAAATTCAAAACTTTAAAATCCAAAAAAATAATGTTCAAATAACCTTTTTTTTTCCCCTTTCTCTCTCTTCTTGGGGAGGATTTTTTTTGGCCTCATTCTGGGCGAGACCCCATTGTAACGAATTTTTCTATCATAGCTAGAAATTATCAACTAATTTATTGAAATTTATCTAATCAATTTCTTCACTCAACGTTACTAAATTCTTGAAATAATTTTTTATAAATAAAACAAACTACAATCAAGAAATTCCATTGAATTTTCTTGAGTTACAGGCCGAGACTAAATGACCAACCATTTCACACTGCAAAGACTTCACCTAAACAATTTTGATTATCTGCAAAAACACAACAACATGCGAAGAATAGCAAATCCTTCTTCTTTTCTTTGTTTTTTTTTTATCAAGAAGGTGGCCAAATTTGCATAAAATCAAGGGGGATTGATTTAAAAGACTTAATCAAACTAAACAATAGTCCAAGAAGACCAATAACTAAGGTTCTTAGTTAAAAGGCCTGACGTTATTAAATATGAAAAATATAATTTGTAAAAGATTAAAATATCATTGTATGTAAAATGATATTATTTTCCTAATTTTCATTTTAATTTCCTTCCAACCCTAATCTCCTTCACTCCTCTATGAACGACTCGACCACGGTAGGTGCCTCTATACTTATTTTCTTATCATCATTTTCTTCTCTACTTAATGAAATCACAAAATCTACATTTTCATTCCTTTGAACATTCATTTGGTGAAGTGAATAATAAAGTCTTGCTATATTCTTTTGGGCATTTGGAGAAGAAGAGAGGGTTTGGTAAATTTTCAATATTTGGGCCACTTTCTTTCTTCATTGTTTTGAATTATCTGTTTATGTTGTTGTATGTGTGTTTGTGGTGTTCATTTGTCAATAATGATTTTAAATTCATTTTATGATTAGATTGGAGCTTTAAATGGGTTACCTTCCAATCTTATTCTCATTACCCTTTATTTGTATTTCTTAGTATTAATTGAAGTGAAATGTGAAATGGTGAAGGATGATTGACTATTCTTCTCTTTTGTTTTCACGTGAAACATATATTTGATTTTTTGAGTAAGCACAACATACATATCATTTTATGAAATCGTGAACGACATAGATATCGTTTTCTGAAATTCATGACAACGTACATATTGTTATCAATACTATATGATGTTTGAAATTTGATGAATTTATATGTTGAATTACAAGTTATGGACACCATGGGCATGGTATGGATATCGATTTGTTATCCAATTGAATATGAGCAGTTAAAGGTACATGAAAATGGAAGTATCCTGGGAATGGCAAAGGGAAAACAATGTCTATCCTTGTTGCAAAAACAATTTCTTACATGAAACTATATGATAAAGTTAAAAGAGGCATTGAATATCTATACGAGTCTATACAAAATGGAGATTTCAACTCTTGTCCCAATAATGTCCAAAGCTCCAGTTGCACCAATCATAATTGATTGTGACAACAACGTGAAGTGGTTATATCTGCCTGTACAGAAACTTTCCTTTATGTAAGTCTTTTAAATGAAGTTGTTGAGAATCAAGAAGATTTTGATGATGAAGGATGTTTATTAGTAACAGATGGAGGAGAACAAATTGAAAATATGAACAACGAGGAGGAACACGATCGAACAGATAACGATGGCAACAATGACAATGGTGATGGAATATTTGTAGATTATAATGGCTTTGACGTAAGTGAATATAGTCCCCAAAAAGTAGATGACGAAGTTAATTCTTCTATAGTAGACGACAATAATTCTGAGTTACACACTCATGAACCCTGTAGTAGGAATATAGTGAATGGTAATGATATTGAATGTGCTCAGATTGTATTTGCAAGTGTAAGTTCGCTCTGTTACGAGACATCAGTAAAAATTCTTGAACGATTAGATGTGCGAGTCAACCAGTTGTTTCCATCAAAATATGACTTAATATCAAAATTGCAGTTGCTAACTGTGAAGTGCCACTTTGAGTACAAAGTTAAGAAGTCAAATAAGAGCACTTATAAATTGTTTGTATTGATGAAAATTGAAAGTGGCGCTTACAAGCAACCATTATTGTAGAAAGTCCCATTTTAGAAGTTCGAAAGTACAATGGTCATTATTCTTGCTTCATGAGCGTTCGTCACAGAGATCATAGGCATATTAGTATCAATTTTAACTGAAACGACTTCGAAATCATTATATCTGGTCATAACGAGTTTTATGTCATTACGAAAATAAGGATAGCAGTGTACATCTTACATTGCAATAATATGACAATGGAAGACAAAACTTGTACATGTAAAACTCATTAAAGTTCTTGTATCTGGTATAGGGCCTTGTTCATAATATACAAAAATAAACTAATCAATTGAAACTGAATTCTTTTGTGACATTATTGTAAAATCATTAAAGTTGTACTACCTACACTGTCATTAATCTAACCATCATCATTCACAAGATCCATCAAACTTTTTGCTTTCACATTATAAAAGCGCAAATGTATAATTTGGATGTGCATACAACAAAATCAACACGAAATTATATTTAGGTAATACTGTCATTACTTTCACATGTACTTGCAACTATATGTAATAATTTACCACGGAGATGTAGTTTCTATCCATTTGCAAAAAGCCTCAACCTTGACGGGATCTACTTCTCGATAAGGATCGTATGCATCGATGTCCGACAACTTTCTCCTCTTCGTCGGGTCCCTGTAGGGAGAACACAATAAGCGCGCTTTTCTCTTCGGACGATACCCTCATCCTTTCGGTGGATCGCATCTTGCATCATCGATTTCTACACTGTAGCTATATGTTGCAAGTAACAACAATTAGAAATGGAAATTTTGTTTCATTTGGCTATAAAAATGTAAAATTGAATTTCGAATTAATTTTTACATACCTTGCGTGGAATCATTTGTATCCACATCATGCTTCTCAGGCATCACAAAATCATCGATACCTTTTTCCAAGTCGGAATGTTCCTCCTCTAATATTATTTATTTTCCAACACTTTCCTTGACCATTTTTTTCATTTTCTTGCTCATCTATATCATTCCCAGATCCAGCTTCCTTTTCCAAGTCATTCCCTCCTACATTTTTCCCTCTAACCTCCTCCCCTAACTTTGGGTCCTCCTCACGCGCTTCTACATTTGTTTCAGCAACAGACACATCTCTCACATCATCAAATCCAAGCCCAGTTTCCAAATCCTTCCCTCCTACATTTTTTCTCTAACCTCCTCCTCTAACTTTGGATCCTTCTCAGGCAGATCTACCTTTCTTTCAGCAGCAGGCATATCTGTCACATCATCAAACTCAGCCTCATTTTCCAACCCACACTTCGGTTCACATTCTAGTACATGAGCTGTGCTACTAGTGGAACCTCAAATGCACTAGTCGCTAAATGGAACTGACTCGCCACAGCCAATTCAACTAACCTGTCAACCTTTTTCTCCATTTGATTTAGTCAAGTCAATATGACTGCTTGTAGCCTTCCCTCAAGTTTTTCCATTTCTGTTCTCAATAAATCCGCCATGTTGATATCAAAACCACGTTGTGGTGGTTGAGCTACTCTAGGAGACTCTTCGTGGTATGCATGATGTAGCTCGGCATCATGCTTAGCCTCGCCTCCTTCGGAATAGTGCTAGACATGAATGTCGTTCCAATTCGAAAATTATACAGATTAACATAACGAATTATAACTCATTTCTGAGACACAAAATGACATGCATATCGTTTTAAT